AAGTAGGGTAATCTTCTAAGTAGTCTACCACTAGGAGTGGTTTACCTACTTCACATTGCTGGCAAATATTGTATTTTGTTGATGATATAAAGATTACAATTCCATTTCCAACCTCTGTTTTGGTTTATTCCTCATTCAGTAATCCTTTCTAGGTTACAACTGGAATAAAAACTAATTAGAAAGAGAAAAGATTAACTTTTGTTTACATGCTAATTTTATCAAAATAGCATTAAGAAATAAACAAGACATCATTTGTTGATATAGAAGGAAATTTCACTATTTTGACGTATTTTTTGCACTGTCCACTGGGGCAGTTTGAATTACCTAGTATAAGTAGGCAAAGTTTGGACGGTTTTATCACTACTAATTTATTTAGTCATTTTTTGGTAGTAAGGAAAACAACTACATATTAAATTTTGTAATTTTGATATAAAATTTGAGCAAGCTTTTACACTCAACCAGTGTATTGTACATTTAATCCTTTACTGCTAGAAGTGATCAAATGTGTTCACAAGTTTCAGATGCAGTCCAGATGCACCTGAATGTGCCCACAATTGGGGAACACTGTATTCAATACACAGTGTTATCACCAGCCATGTGATCAACTAAAAGGTGCCCAAAATCTACAACTTTCTAAAAGTTGTAGATTTTCAAAACCATATCTCATAACTAGTAATACCAAAGAGGTTAAATTTGGTATCACTTGAAAGAAAAATCAATTTGTAGGACTTGATTTTCAACAGTTTTTGAAATATAAATTTAATTGCACTAACATCATATATTCATATTTTCTAACAATTTGTTCAAGACTTCAGGGATTTAACAATTGAAATCTTTTAAGTGCTGATACCGTTAAAATCAAGATGAAAGTGATTGTCAGTGATCAGGAATTAAGGCAAGCATTATGGTGGTGTAATGGATAGTGGCTCAGATTGACGAATCGGAGAGCAGAGTTCAAATTCCAGTCAAACCCATTACATTCACTTACGTGCTAATACTTGGGAAAGGTATGAATCCTCTTCTCTCCCCAGTATGGGTAAATAGCGGGACAGACTGGGTTCTATAGCCTTGGATGGTAACTGGTCTACTGCAGAAAGAAATGGCAACCTACTGCAGGAAAAAATCTGCCTCATTAGTCATGTATCAAAATATACATGATTGCCTAAGTGTGTATCACACATGGCACATAACTGACTGATTACTAAGAAGAGAATAAAGCTAGTATATGTAATAAAACTGAAAATGAATGACTAAATTCAAAGTCATATTCCCCTCTCCCCAGATAAACTCTGAAAAAAAATATCTACTGGGTCTTATATATAAGACTGAGATTTTTGTGAGACTAATGCTTATGCGGTTACTTAAACTACTTAACTCCCTAATAACATAATATTAAATACTAGCAGTAGAGCCCGGCATTGCCCGGGGATGTAACAGTAAGAGATAGATCAAGTATCGACCATCATAAAGACTGAAAAATAAAATTGACAAAGATTATTGTTTAAGATTGACGGACACGCATGTCTTAATTAGTTTTATTTTTTTTTTTTTTTACGAATTGGTCAAACCCAAACAAAAACATTGTTTTCAATCGTTATGAGTCTATCAATTGAATAGAATTTTATTATAAACAATTGTCTTGTAAATGGAATTTTTAAAGCATTCTGAATGTAAAAATAAAGAAAAAAAGTGTGCAAGACAATAAGAAACACTACCTGCCAAAAAAAAGTGAAGTTTTGTTGAAATCGGTTGAAAAATGTAGGAAATTTTTGATCCCATATATAAATGAACACACACACACACAACCAACCTGGGTTTTATAATAAGTGTAACTTGATAACTTGATATTAATAAGTATAACTCGATATGAGTTGTCCCCCTTTCATTAATGCCTCTTAATCATGTTTTCAAATTGATTTCATGCAAAAACAATTGTTTTTCCAATTTTTAGCGCTGTCAGGACCACTGCAAGGTAATTTTACATAGTCCTGTGAAGTTTTGTTGAAATCGGCTAAAAAATGTAGGAAATCCGATCTAATATATAAACGTTACAGACACACACACACACAATCTGCGTTTTATAATAAGATAAGTATTGGCAAAGAGATATATAAACCACCGGAGTACATGGAAATTCTACAGTACATCTTTTCAATACAATATTAAATAGTTTAATAATACAAATTTTCAGAAAAATATGTTTTGTTTTAAACATTCATATCAATTTTCAAATTGACATATGCTTGGTAAAAATATATCCTTCATTTTTATTAACTTCACAAAACTTTGTGAAAATATCCTTGTCTTGTTTTAATTTGCTTAACAATTATTATAATTTGCAATGTTCTGGTTATGGAAAACAAAGTTGTTAATCATTAAATACTGGTTATTGAAAATATACTGAAAATAATTTTGTCCTTCAACCTTATTTGTCATTTATCAATTTTCAAAACAGTTTTTATTAGAATATAGACAGAATAGTTACTTGGGACATTAGAATATATTGTGTAGACTAATGGATTATGAAATGCAACAATTTCTATGCTAGTATGTAGGATAAGTAACATTCTGTGGTAACCTAAAAAGCATTTTATCAACTCAAACTACAATGAGGATTTTATAGTAAGGAAATAAACATTGAATGAATACATGAAGTTCATCAAAATCCTTTGAATAATACTTTCTGATGTTGGTATATATCCTTTGTAGAGAACTAAGTAAATAGACACCATTATTTTATTCAAATTTAACATTAATATAGAGATAGTAATTCACAATGCTTTCTACTCTAGGAGTAGAAATTGTAAGATTTTTTGAAAGAGAGGACTTTTTTAAATCAATCTGAAAGTGAAATAAGTCAGCATCAAAATTAGAAATTTCACTTTGAACTAGAAATTGCATACAATTTGTTTTTGTTATCTTGGAAAAAAAAACTTTATTGTGGCCGTGCATGATCTGGCGTGATTTGACCATTTGGCTACAATGAACTTCACAATCAAGCAAGTTTCAATTTTTGCCTTTAAAGCACATTCACTTGTCAGATATGCATTTCAAGAAAAATCTGAATGAGTAAATGTGCTTTAAATGCAAAAATTGAACCTTGCTTGATTGTGGCAAGCGTATTTAAATTGTCTCAAGAAAAAACAAAACAATATCTTTATATGTTAGGGCAGAACAACAAGAAAAATATTTCTTAAACCAGTCAACAAGCAAAGAAAGCAGTGGATAGCTAATACAATTAATTGAGTTTTGGTACACTGTCTGCACTACCCAGCCTGGGGATTGAACTCGGAATTACTATGTCAACAAATTTATGAATGAACCCTTTAATCTACTAGGCTAGCAATAACTGGGCAGTACTAGAATAAGATCTAGACATGAGCATCAGAACAAGAACAGTCTCTTACTATAGACTAAATAAAGGGTTCAGTTTGAAATTCCCTGAAGGTTACACATATTAACAAGCACCTGGGCAATGCTGGAGGCCACAACAGTTGAAACATTGTGATAATAACAAAGATGAGGACAAGAGTGAGTGTAAATAACATAAATAAAAGATAATTCTTCATCCCAGAAATTAAATAAAATTAAAAATTTGCCAATAGTAAATACATTAAATAGCTATTTGAATCATATTCTTGAATTTTTCAGATTGTTGAATAAAGCCTTGTCAGAAAACAGGTGCCTATTTTTTTATGCCTGTAGGTGAAATCAATCTACAAGTTAAATGATTGGCAACATGCTCAAATATTGTGAGCTGAATGAATTAACACAGAGACAAAAAACAATATTTCTGTTCAACTGATCACAAACATTTAGATTTGATCCTTCTACTTGTTAACTTTCACAGGTTTATAAATTGTACGTTAATCTTCCCTATTAAGGATACTTGGGAAGCATAGATTAAATTGAGAGAAAATAGGATGTAAATTAGCCACCATCAAAAAGATAATCATTTTATAGACATTTCAATTATTAAATCAAATACTTAATCAGATGTTTATCAGTATCCACTATGTCAAAATTTAATTTAACAATATTATTCATATGAAATTAATTTTGCAATAAAAAAATTAAAAATTAAATAATTTACAAATGTAACATTAATTTCTAGACATACAAAACAGTAGCATCTAATATTTTGATATACAAGCAAAATTACTCCAAACTGGTCTTGTAAGACCATTAACCTTTGTTGGCTAGTATTTTTCATCTTCATATTAACACAGCTAGACAAGTAAAGTTAATAATACCAACTCAGAATATATATTATCTTAGTAATAAAACACATTTTTAAATTCAAAATCAATATGCAGTATTAGTTCCCACCCTTTAAAAAAAAGAAAACAATGTTGGCCTCATCCAGACCAATGTATTGGCTATAAAAACTGCTTCTGAAATACACATCTAAAATTGTGCGAAAAAATTCAGATTAGATTTTGCAACAACTTCTAGCTCGTATGTTATGAAAATTCTACAAACAGGTTCAGTCTGGCACAAGGTCAGTGTGTCAGCACACTTGGAGAAAACTAATGTCTTCTAGACTATATTACTAATCAGTACTCCATAAAAAAGGAATTCTTTTATGAACAAATTAATATACATTTAGAATTAAAGATTAATAAAATAACTAACACAAACTATTAATGTACACTTTTCATAAGATATTGGCTCAGTATCTTTGATGTTATTTTCCTCATTTCTTCCTAAATAGAGGCACTGCACTTCCAGTTTGTAATTTACTAAGTGGTAGACAGTACCTAATTTTACATTGAAATAATACCTAGTTCAATAATTGTTTACTTTCCAATATATAGTAGGTTACAGATATAAATTTGACTAAACAGTTTCTATAGAAAAAAAAAAATTAATTCAAACTTTAGGTATCGTGATTTTTGTGGCGGTACCTAACATAAATATAAACTTTATCATATACAATCATATCTATACATCTATAAAGGGCAGTTATCTGTATGTGCGTGTCTGGTTAAACTAAAAAATTACAGCAATTTATTACATAGATAGATAGATAGATAGATAGATAGATAGATACACAGACTCATTATCCCCCAAGTCAGCTTGTTGTAAAAAAAATTATCACCATCTGATTTGTATTTACGAAGATATTTTAAAATTAAAATGCATTAGAAATTCTCAGAATTAAAAAGTAAAAACGAATGGTAATAATTCTAATTCTCAATTATGATTACTGTTCATTTCACATTTTTATTCTGTTGATACTTTTGAAATGCTATACATGTATCTTTTAAATTTCTATTCTCTTGAATTTATTTTCACATAAAAGCATAACTTTAAAAAACAATATTAAAACAACAAAGTAAATTTAAAAGAATATTAAATACAATTATTAGACAAAAGGTTTAATATTTATTCATTCAAATATTTGAGTGTGTCTAGCTACAAAATAAATATAGACTCAGTATCACCCTAAAGAGTGTGTGTGTGTGTTACTGACTTATGTTTTGGCCATCTTATAGAAAATAATTTTTTATTCAATCTTTTAAAAATAAACTTCATTGGTTTTTGGTTTGTAACTAACATAAAAAAAGTAAATAATTTTCAATGAAGTTTTATTAAAGCAAAAACTATAGCAAGCCTTATTTTTCAAAAACTTTTTAATTTGTAAAACATATTCAACACAACTAATGTTGACTGTAATTAATGTCTGTCTCTGCTAATTTTAATTTAACTAAAGTTTTTTTTCTTTTCAAATATTACTTGAAATTTAAACAATCACTTTTCAAAACTAAATTCTCAATGTGTCTTGCTTCTAGTCTTTCAAAATAGCAATTAATGTTTAAAAGTAAAACTTTATTTACTTAAAAAAAATCTTAATTCCCCTCCAAAATAAATAGTAAATAATTATATTTTGAAGTAAGGCTCACTATAGCTTTTTCTTGAAGAAAAAAAAAAAAAAAAAATTAAATTAAATGTTAAATATATCTTAATTTAAGTTTTCCTTTTTTATTAATAATAATTTTTAAAAAATTAAGGAGCTTTTATCTAAGGTTGATTTGTTTGAAAACATTAACAGAGTATTTAAATCAAAAAGTCTTATTGAATAAATATATGGGGATGCTCATCCCCTTATACCAAGTATGATATTGGTAGTGTGGTATTTTCCTAAATTTAGTTATTTTGTAACAAACCAAAAATAACAATAAAGTTTATTTTTTAAAGATTGAATAAAAAATTATTTTCCATAGGATGGCTGAAAAATATCAATAAATTGTCAATAAAAAAAAAAATTATTCAAGAGATCTTCTGAGCAATGCAGAGTATCACCCCCCCACTAGTAAAATTATAAGGTAGTCTAGTACAGTTATCTGTATGTGCGTGTCTGGTTAAACTAAAAAAATTATGGTAATTTATGACAGTGTGTGTGTGTATATATATATATATATATATATATATATATACACACACACACATACAGACTCATTATCACCCAAGCCAGCTTGTTGTAAAACCATTATCACCATCTGATTTGTATTTACAAAGATATTTTAAAATTAAAATGCATTAGAAATTCTCAGAATTGTGACCATGAATCATTATTTTTGTCAAAATGTTTTTTTCAAATTATAAATTAAGCATTCCAGATCTAAAATATTTTTTTTTTTTTTTAAATAAATTTATAAAATTTAACAGTAGGGGTGTTCAGTCTTCTATGTAAACTGATTCCCCTACAAGCAGTACCTCTACAGAAATGCAATACCTAAGGTTTAATATTAATTTTTAAAAATGAAAAAAATCTATCTTGAAGCTTTTATTTCAAGCTAATAGATTAAATTTAATATTTCCAATAAACAAAATAATTTGCAGTTTTTCAACACTGATTTAAATTGCCTGGAAGTAATTTTCACTTTGAAATCCCTAAACCTTTCTGATTTAGCCTTATTTTTAGCCATCCATCATCACAATGCAATTCTCTTTATTAAAAAAATCTTTCAAAAATAAAATATACTTTTCTGAAACTTTAAGGAATATTAGCAGATTTAAAGTTTTATTTAAGGTGTTGACAGCTTGACAGAGATGGAAGTTTACCCAAATTTTTTTCTATGGTATATATATCTAAAAATTACTTAAGGAATATAACAAGAGCACATATTTTTAACTACTCAGTAATCTCAAAAATTTAGGAAAATATTCTATAATCTAATGTTTTATTCAATTTTAGGTAATTTTGTTTTAAATTTACTCTAGTTATCACTCTTATTTTCTGATAATGTTGTGTATGGACTTCTGGAGTTACAAAAAAAAAAAAAAAAAAAAAAAAAAGGTATGTTTATACACATAAAAAAATATTCAAAGTTCTTAAAATATTGAGGCAGGAGTTGCTAAATTGTAATAAACTTTTCCATTCATGATTAGTAAATATAGTTTTTACATAATAATTTCTTGAAATTTCATAAAATTAAGTAAGTGATGGTGGAGGGACATAATACATATATAAAAGTAATGTATAAACAAATATATATATATTACACACACATTGTCATTTAATATATATATATATATATATATATATATATATATATTAGTCAGTTACATGCAGTGCTGTGATACACGCTTAGGTGATCATGTATCTTTCAATAGATGACTGATGAGGCAGATTTGTTCTGTATTTCCAAGTGTATTTGGCTATACTTTTATATACAACCTGTACACCCAATTAAAAAGCCAAAATAAAATCATCCTTGATAATGGCTAAAAGCATAATCAAAAGTGCTTGGAACATTAGGACAGTTTTTACACACACAGTGTCCAGAAAAGAGAACACTTGCTTGAACACAAGAAAAATTAAATAAAAAGCTTAATTGCAGTACCTTGTCTGTACTATTTAATGTAACATATACACACACATTATATAATTACCAAGATTTTCTTAAAAAAAAAAAAAAAAAAAAAAAAAAAAAAAAAAAAAGAAAGTAAATAATTTTATCCATTTGTGAAGAAAAGTTTCATTAAAATCCAACAATTATTTGATTTTTGCAAGAATTTCCAAGTGTTTTTCACTGTAAAAAAAAAAAAAAAAAAAAAATAATCTTATGCTAATTTTTTTCCCCTCCACTGATGTAAGCAAGATTTTTAACCAAATACTCAAAAAACTTTTTTTTTCTTCCCCATAATGGTATGCTAATTTATTTTAGCAAATCTGTGGAGCTACTTACCCTACAAAAAACTAAATCTAAGTATATTTTCATATTTAAAAAAAAAAAAAAAAAAATAAATAAATAAAAAATAAAAAAAATAAAAAATAAGAGTAGTATGAGCATATTTTATTTGGGATTTCATTTTTACCAATTAACAATAAACTTACATAGCAAACTGGACCCCCTATGAATGTTTATATATAACACACAATGCTGAAATAAATGCACTAAAAAAACAATTTTATTATCAAAACCTTTCATGAAAGATCAAAGAATTTTTAGATAGAAAAATTATTTTTTATCCATGGAAATTTTGGTTAAAAATCATTTTTCTCACAAAAATCAGGTAATTGATGCAAAATAAAGCATTTAATTATGAAAGCTCTTATGTAGGCATAAAAAATATATTATGGGCCTATTTTCAATGAATAAAGAATTTCTACAAAAATTGCTTTCATTTTTTTTGTAAATTTAATTAGAATAATTTATAAACTTTTAAGATTCTGTATTCATTTTTAGTGGTCAAGTGATGTTGTTATTAAATTAAATTTGTATTTACTAACCATAAATAGAAAAGCTCTACAATTCAACAAACCCAATATTTTAAGAATAATTTTGGATCTTTGTCAAGTTTTGTAAATAGGGACATTCATATAACATTATCAGAAAATAAGGATGGTAACTATAATAAATCTAAAATTTATTAGTAATTTTCTAAGATTTCCTCAACAAGCATCTTAAGTAAAGTACCTAAAATTCAATAAAATATCAGTTTGCTTAGAATATGTAAAAAACTTTTTTAAGATCACTGAGTAGTTAAATTATATAAGGTGTTCACATTTTATTTGTTAAGTAATTTTCAGTTATGTACCTCTTAGTCTTAAGTTTCCCAAACATCAGGCTTTTGAAAGAGGTGTCAATACCTCATAAAAATACCCACTCCATGTTTAAAAAAAAAAAAAAAAAAAAAAAAAATGATGCTTTTCTGCAATATTTTAAATAAAGCATAACTAATATTGGTTTCTATTCTGATTAATTAAACTTTAAATCAGTTAATTTTTCTCAAATAACATTTCAGAAAAATTTTTTTTTTTAATAAGGAGGATTATGTTGTGTAGAGATTTGTCAATATAGGTAATTTTATAGATTTAATTTACTAATAATTGAGGAAAAAACATGATCACAATCAATTTAAATTTGATTTGTAATGCAGCAAAGAAAGTATTTTGCTTATTGGAAATATCTCTTAGCTTGGAAGAAACTGAAATAAAAGCTTCAAGATTTTTTAAAATGAGGTATCATTTTTTTTTGTAAGGTATTTAATACGTAGTTTAAAATTTATAATTTTGTGAAAGAGTGTGAGGACAAGGAAATGAATATTGCATGGTCTGAAGATCATTTTTTAGGCATGTAGCTGACAATGTTGATACCTAAGTCGATACTATCAAACAACTATAAAAAAAAGAAATGTCCTTTTTGTGATGGGACTACTGATTAATATCAATTTTGTTAGGCTCTGCACATAAAATACGGAACACGACATAAATCGTGCACCGTGTTTAAAAAAACTAGGTCTAAAAACGTAATACAAGTTTATAATGAAATTAAGTACTTGAACAAAAAAAAAATGAAATTTCAAAAAGAATAGGTTTGTTTTTTGATAATAATAATAAAGTCTCCAGTTATTTATTTATTTTTTTTTTAACATTACTTTTTTATTAAATTGGAATGAAAATGTTACAATGAATTTTTTGTGAAAAAATACATTTATAATAAAGAAAGCCTCATTTCTTTCGTTGTGCTGCTATACTGCTAAGTAATCGGTTCCCAAACAAAAATGTGGGAATAGAAAGTAGGCCTACATATCTCAAAGTTTGGAACATGTTTAAAGAATGCCAATAGAGAAAATAAAAACCAAATATACCGGCCAGGCAAATATGGAAACCAATAGCACTTATAGACATGGGGAAATTAGAGATATTCACACCCAACTTGGCCCACAAGAAGAACAAGATAAATAAAGGAACAATAACAAGGACGGTGAAAATGGTTGAAACCACTCTGGGTGGCCTCTTCTCAGGAGCTTTAAATTCATGCTTAATTATAGGTTTTTGTGCATACTGGTTAAGCACGATTTTCTTGGGAGCTATTGACTCTGGGAAGGTGAGGACCAAGTCAGCTAAATACCAAGAGAAGGGATTTTCAATTATAGCATCTCCAATAATCAGTTCCATTGAGTAGCGTCCTGATAGATAACCAAAATCTTTGGCACCACTTCCAATGTCAAGATCAAATTTATTGGTCATTGTGTTATCAGCTTCAGTCACAAATATAATTTCTTGCTTGGTGTTAAGGTTGGTCAGTCTCACAAAAGCTTGGTGAGCAGTCATCAACTGACCACTGCTCTTATCTTTCAGCTGAAATTTCATGATGATCTTTTGGTGATAGTCTGCTTCCAAAGCATTAGCAGCCTTATTGGGATGCTGCAGTTTGGTAGTTCTGGCCACTGTGGTCTGATCTTTATCAGCGACTCCTATCTCAACGTTTTCAATAGAAACATGAACAGTAACTTTAACTTGAACTTCAGCTCCTGTGAGTCCAAGAAGGCGGCTGTCAGTTTCACTTGGTACCACATTGATAATTATTTTGTAGAATCCACGAGTTGGGTTGACCTGCATAAAGTTCAAATCATACGAAGTTTTATCAGTAGCTGAAGCAGTGAAGGTCTTCTTACTAAGGACGACGGCGTCGTCTGTCATATGCCGAGCAGAATCTGCTATTACGCTGATCTGTTTTTCGAGAACATCACCCATCAAATTAGTGACACGTACCTGAACATTGGGGGTCACAGGACTCACAGCAACAAAACTAGCTCGAGTAACAGCAACAGGGATGTGGAACGGGTTAGTGGTCAGTGTCTTTATCACTGAAAGCAGCTGACAGGCACTCTTTACTTGATGCACATGTTTGCGACTAAGAAAATAATTAGCAAACTTAACAACCTTGTCTTCACTAATTAGGGGAGCTTTGTTGATCTTCTCAGCTAATTTGTAAGCTCCGTCGACTACTAGAGAGGTAACATAAAGTCCACCTTCGAATTGCAAGTACTTCTCCTCAACTTCGTCCGCTTGGGCAACAATATCCTCAATACTGTCATATAATTTGGCCAAATTTCCACCGAATTCAGCGGCAACAAGGAAGGCGTAGCCATGACTAGCTGGGAGATCATCCTTTTTCAAGGCTTCTGTAAGGGCAGACATGACAGCTGCTTCGTTGACTGCATTACCGGATTTTTTCAATGCGAAAAATGCATGGAATATGTCAATAACTGGAGAAGTTGGATTAATGGCATCTTTAATCAGGTCCAGGCCCGCACTGATATCGACTTTACAATTGGTAAGATAGGCCGCAGCAGAGGCGACGTGGTACAAAGTTGATAAGCTGGACGGGTCCATAGATTCTTTGATATTTTGGCAGATTTGCGCATTATTAATCGGTGTAGCATCAAGTACTTTGAGTCCAGCCAAAGAATAATGAATAGTAGTTAAGTCTGAACTACTTGAAGAAGACTCAAACACAGATTTTAATCTGTTTTGATCCTCAGACGTCAGGTAGGAAGTCGGCGTTAAAGCAAGACCGACTGTAAACAATGCGAATAAGCATAAAACTCTCATCATGACAGAATTCAGGTAGCTAGTAGTATCATATATTCAAATAATAAAAAATTGAAATGAATAAAAAAAAATCCAACTGTACCCAGAATAAAGATGAACCACGGATACGGCAACGATGTGAATTCTGCCGCTACTAAGTTTTAAGCACAGAGAACGTGGCACTCTGCCGTTAGCTCCCTTAGCTACGGTATTATCGGTAACATCCGGAAAGTGTTTTTAATTATTTGTTTTTTATAATCACAATCAAAATTGTAATTTGAATTTTATTATTGAAAATTTGTTGATTTTTAATAGTTTATCTTTTATGAAAGAACTAAATTGAACAGAATATACTTCGATAGTTAAAAATAATACTGTAACTGCTGAATACTTCCGGTTATATACCTTGACAATGTGTGTGTATTTTTAATATTGAGCATGCATGACCTTTGATTTAAAATCGAACTGTTTGCCGAGCTCCCCCTCCTCAAAATTCCTCTTTTTAGAGTTTATTTGTTGCGATTTCGAAACATTTTAGAGATTAAAAATTCTTTTTTGAAATTAGAATTACAAATTTTATTTACAATTGTACAGATAAAAAAAAACAGCAAGGTTTCATTTTTTTCAATTCCAAAATTTAAAATGAGATATAAATTTAAAAATAAAGTTAAATATGAACGAGAATTCGTGTCATGTAAATATTACTTCGAATATATTTTTTTACACATGAATCTCCCGAGTGATACCGGAAGTTATTTATAAAAATTATTCCACTGGAGATTATTCTTAGAATTCGAAATGTTTTTCTTATCCGCTAGATTCATTTTTCGATGTTATTCGAGTGGACTCAGAAACACAGTAAAATCAAGTCAACAATTAAGCTGTATTGTAAGAAAAGGTTGGTTTTGAAATTATTCTTTTTAACAATTTACCTAAACATAGAAAATAGTAATATTTCCTCGGCAGAAGACTGACGACTAGATCGAATAGAAAGAAAAAATGTAATTTTATTTTTTTACCCCTTGGTTAATAACTTTTTGTGTTTATGCCAATCTTATTGAAAACTGAGATTTAATTTGCTAATTCACTATTCTGTACACAGCATATTGATCTTTTTATGTATAGAAATTTGTTAGATTTTATTTGTGGGGCATAATGGGTTAAAAACCTGCTAAAAATGACAGAAAAATTTCATTATCTATATTCTAACTTCGAAGTTTTTTAAGGAAATTAACTTAAATAAAAAAATAAATAACAAAAAAAAATAATTTTTTTTTTTTTACTTTGCTCAAGTCCTGGAACATAGTGCTGTGGTATTTTAATGTATAAATAAATAAAAAAAATTAATTTAGTCTACTCTTCTCCATCAACAACAAAATTAATGACTAAATTCAAAATGAGATTAAAATACACGGATAAGAATTGTCATGTAAATTAATTACTTCGAATATAATCTTTTATTCATTCGATTTTTAAATGATAATAAAAATTCAACAAAATACACAAAAACAAAATTACTTTTTTAATTTTTTTAACTTCAATTTAAGTGGCTGATCCTCATTCAATTAAAAACTTTCATAACTAGTGTAGTGTGCAACAAAGACGATTGTTTGAAAGTTTCAATTTCATAAGGATGTTTTATCGATGGAGACTATATTTTTAGAAATTCGAAGTTAGAATATAAAATCTTCTTGTAATTTTAAATTTTTAAACAGGCAAAAAATTTACTTTTTTTAAAACTTTAAATAAATGTAAAACTAAAAATAAGTGACTACTTCCATCCAATACAAGTAGTAAATTTCCAAAATCTTTTAAAAGTAAGTATAAAGTAAAATTAAAAATAAATCCCTTTCCATAAGCTTTCCATGTAAAAATAAAAGTAACACACTTGTGATGATGATCATCATCATCACAAACATGCATACATACTTATGCAAATTCAAATTATACAACAAGCATTAATTAGATAATCAACACTATTGTGTAATGGACAATTTTATAATCGCTATATTTTCATGTAGTCGATTTCGTGCACTTTTGGAAGAATCGGATCCTAGGAGTTTTTCGTGAGTTTTCCCAAAGCTCGCTCACTAATTGGTCAATGCCAACCAATCAGATTGCCTGCACGTGAACAGTGATTTTTCCCGTGCAGCGCTTTTGGAGTCGATGGACACCTATATAAGCAAAGAATATTCTTAGTAAATTAGTGAGATTTCAGCTGCCATAGAAATCTACGAAAGTTGAAACCATGCGCCAATCTTCTCACTCACACCACCACTCACATGCTGAATATTCCCTACACTCACATAATCTTTTTTCTTACACAGCAAAACCGTTGAAAACATTTATTACCAGAAACTATTACAACCTTATTTCTTTCAGTGAACTTTGGAACAATTGATAGTTAAAGAGAGACAACTCTTGTTTTAATCAATGCATGCTTTTCTTTCACATCCTTGTTTGTACATGTATCATGATGTCTTTGGTTTATCCTCTTTTTCTTCATGTCAGTTTGGTTTCCTAATCTAAGTTAATTAATGTGAAGTCTGCCACATTTCATTGGTGAACCCGACGTGATCTGGAAGGCAGCCGCATTTCATTGATGACCAATGTGATTAGGAAAGGCTGACGTAATCTGAGAGGGCCGCATTTCATTGGTATTTTATCAAAGCCCACATAAAATTAGTTGGTTTGTATTTGTCCTGCAAAAGAAGTCACCAAAACTTCACTGTTACCTCATTCACCAGTGAACCTAGTAAGAGAATAATTAGAAACCTCTTGGAATCTACTTGGCGTGCAAAATTTTTTTGTCACCACGTGCAAATATTCACACGACTCAACATGGCAGTCCCAGACAGTGACGGAGCTGCAGTCCTAGTCAACATTCCCGTCTTCAACATGATGAATGTTCACGTTTGGTTCTCACAACTGAGTGCAATACTTGTATTAAAAATAAAAATAATTTTTATTTTACAGTATTTTAAATATTGAAATTAAAATGTTTTCTTTCTTTTAAAATTTAAAAAATTATACATGTGAAAAAGAAAAAAATTTAAAGAGCATTTTTTAACTTGTATTTTTTTAACTTGTTTTTTAAATTGATAAAAATATTTTTGATCAATTTAGAAATAATAAATAAAAATATGGTTGGGACAATATGTATTCACTTTGCACTAATGCCCTTGGGAAAGGCATGAATTAATTAATTTCTTAGCTGGGGATAAATACCAGAGTAGTTGTAGCCCTTTGTCTAAGGCAATTTGTGTTAGGGTAGTAATTCAGCTCTGGAGTAATGGATAATGGCTCAGATTGAGGAATCAGAGAGCTGAGTTCGAATTCCAGTCGAATCCATTACATTCACTTATGTGCTAATACCCTTGGGAAAGGTATGAACCCTCTTTTTCTCCCTTCAGTTATGGGTAAATAGCAGGACAGACAGGGTTTTATAGCCTTGGATGGCAACTGGTCTACTGCAGAAAGAAATGGCAACCTACTACAGGAAAAAATCTGCCTCGTCAGTCATGTATCAAAAGATACATGATCGCCTAAGTGTGTATCATGCATGGCATATGACTGACTGAATTCATTTGTTACTGAAACTGTAGTAGCATTACTTGTAGCACTTTTCTCTGCAAGGATTCTGCAGGAATGAATAAATAAATAATATAGTGGAATAACCTGTAACTCCCCTGAGTGACTATACTATAGCTAGTAACTACATATAAGTAGGAGACTTGCTGGTATCTGTTGAGTATGACTTAGACTTACATGAGAACTAATGACCTTTCAATAGCAGCACTCGCTACTGGATTAACTTGCCACGATCATGTGCATAACTGTTACCTTATTTCTTATTGTACTGGTTTTTACAATAAACCTTTACTTATTTTATCCACCGTGTTTGTCAAGTATATATTCCTATTAGCATGGAATATAACAATAAATAAATAGGAGAAAGAAGCAGAAAGAAAAATTAATAACATAAACTGGATTTGAATTTTGAAGATAGTTTCTTATTCTTTCCACTAGCTTTGATTTCTTTGTGGTTCTTAAAGCAATACTTGAAAGTATGTTCAAGGGTTAGATGAACTTAGAAGTGAAAATGATTTTCCCTATAGATAAACTATTGATTTACTTCAAAAAAGTAAAATAACAGATAGGCTCCAGCTGAAATGCACCTATGTGTGTGTGTGAACATTAAAGACATGCCTAATTTCTACTTGTAAAGAATTCTTTAGTTCCTACCTGCAGAATGAAAACTTTTTCAGTGGGTTTCAACCACTTGTATCATCAGAAATGCTGAAGAATTATTGGTAACTAAGCAAGGTGATCTCTAAGGTTTAGTTAGCACCTTGGAACTAAGCCATTAAATAAAAATTAAAATAATCTTTTCTTTTTTTTTTCTTTCATCATTTCATTTCAAACAAGTTGAGAAAGCCACTGAGGGATTACTGAGAATGAAAGAAACAGAAAATATTATTGAAGAGAAAAGACAATAAAACATGATTCATAAAGACAGAAGATGATGATTGACATTTCATTTAAATAATAAACTCATCTTAGACTATTATAACTTCTAAAAAGCAGTGCCAAAAAGAAGACTTATTTTTACCATGCATCATATTGCACAAACAATATTCTATATTTTCTCACAAATTATTATTTTATTTATTATTATTCTTTTGTACTATTTGCTTAAGAAATATAGAATTTTTCCTAATTTGATACACTCTAATAAATGCCTTTTTTTTTTTTGCAAATATGTTTTGAAATTAGGAGAATATTACTAATTTTTTAAAAAA